ACAGGGACTAAAATAATTGATAAGTATTATACCTGCTGCTGAAGAAGGAGTCGTGTCCTAGGATCTAAACCTTGAAGCCTTCCATCCAGCTGTTGCATTCTGATCATACTTGGACGCGCTCCGACCGACATAGGAATTCTTGGACGAGCCGAACTAGGCGGCAGTGGTTGCCTAAATTTGAACATCAAGTATGGTTCAATATTATGTGTGACAATTAGGAATATTTATGTGGTTATAATCATATTTTAACGTACCTAAATGTGCCATCAGCTCCTGAAATATTAGTCGGAGATGGCAGTTCGGACTCTGGAGTCCTTTGACCCGATTTCTCTTGAGCCATATCAAAATTTTTCAATTGCTGCTGCCTTTGCAGTAAGTCTCTAAGTTGTCGAGTAACTTCTGGTTGATCAGAGCGTACCTATTTTATAAATCAAAGTATTTATTTATTTCAATGGTATAGTTCGCCATTTTTACAAAATAATTGTGGAAATATTATATATCAATTAATAAATATGATACAAAAATCTTAGAGGCTTTAGCTTCATTCAGAACCTCGCAATTAGTGGAATAAATTGTGGTTTCAATTACACTTTATACTTTTTAGTTTACGATCATTCACAATGTCTAAAAAACACAATTAAAATTAATAGAATATCATAGCAACAGCTTGAGGTAATCAGTTGTACCCATTGTGTATGCAACCAAAGCAATGAGATTTTTGAATATCAGGAGTGCGTGCGATAGAGATAACATCACGTATCGGGTTTTTCAGTCACAGAAAAGATCATGAAAGAAAACGCCTTGACCGTCTTCTGATGCGTGTCAAATACTCGTCAGAGAGTAATGGCTGTATGTATGCATGTGTGTACAGTTGTACAAATATAGGAAGAGACTTGGGGATAGCACCGGTCGCATTTCATTCATAGCATTCATAGCATTTCTCACGTCTCTAGCTATACTTGTTAAGTTGTAGTTGTATCCATAGAGAAAGCCTAATATTTAGCTTAGAAAACAATAAACGTTTAATTTCTAACAACAATTTCTCTTGACGGATGATAATCAAAGGCCAAAATGACATTCCTTCAAATTTTGAAGCATAATTAGTGGAGAAGTTAAGTTTGTCAACTTTTTCCACTAATTGACAATTCCTACCGCTAATCTTAACGTTCTGAATGCTTACATTCATATTAGAGGAACAAACTACTAAGCTAATTGAAACTACTAAGACCGTACACACACGGGTCGTCTCAAACTCATTTGTGTTTTGTTTGTTTCCTTTCATGTTTTTCTGTTTTATTTTTAAAATTTAATAAGAATTTGATTGCTTCGAGTGTCTTGAATTTGAAATTGTTGAAACTACGGCAACCTCGCATGACGCAAGCTCGACACAGCGGCGCGATTATTCGTTGGGCTGTTTTCGATATATTTAATTCTGAATTACGATAAACATTCTAGAAATTTCTTTTTTGTGACCTTATCAATAGTCAATTCATTTGTGACACCCTGTATATCTATTTTTCTATAATATAACTCGTACATAATAATATAACTAGTACAGAGTATAGATCGCAATGAAAACTAAAAATACCACATTTTTGGGTATAATAAAATGTATTAAAATTGTTTATTTTCGACAATGCCGGTCATCTATTCTTAAACCGTTCTATACTACCAGAAACAGCGTTACATCATACAAACTTCGTACCTGAGAATTTTAGTTTGAACAACTACACCAGTAAAAACCAAAATACTTTAACAGTATGCCACAGCCACGATTTCAATGCGATAAACATGCACGGTAACCGGGACGGTGTGAAATAAACTTACTCGAACATATTTAGTATTCAGCTCGTTCCAGCTTAGTATTCCCATCAAGCAAGAAATACTTTTGAAAAATTATAAGTCTATAAATATAAATAAATCTATCAGATTATTACCTGCATAGGTGCCCGAATTGTAGCGAACTGAGGTTTCTGAGCTTGGAACTGTTCGTTCCCGTTCGACGCCACGGCCTGCTTAACGAACGGCTGCTTTTGCTGAAGATTGGACGGCGCGTAGTCGGGACTCAGAAGCTCCGCAACTTGGCCTTGCTGAGGGGCCGGCGGGAACTCGTGAACGGGCGACTGTGAAGGAGTGGGAGTACGAATGTTAGGAGGCTGAGGAGAGGGGTGAGCGAAGGGAGGAGATTTCATACCAACGAATTGTCGGGACACCGGCGAGGGTGACGCTACGGGACTAGGTTCCTGGCTAGACGTGGATACTTGGAGAAGATTGGATTGGTTGTTGGGCATGAAAACTTGCGAGTCTTGAGGTACCCGCTGAACTCTTGCTATAGCTGTAATAATTAAATATAACTTATTATAACATTTCCGGTTTCATCAGAAACTAAACATGTCTGTTCTCTTTCTAATAAGAAGCCACAGAAAGTTTTCTCAGGTCAAGTATCTTAGAAAACTTGAATTAAAATGACTTTGTAATGATTCACATAAAGAAGTAGCAATCAAATTAAACCGAACTGCTAGTTAAAGTAATCACTCTAATGCCGATACGTTAATGATTATGTTCAACTAGACTGATACTCCTTTATGTAATTTGTAGATCGAGTAGTAGCGCGAATAGAGTACGTCGCGTCGGCCGTAACTCG